TAATAATATATTAATAGAGTTATAATATTCAATATATTATTAATATATTATAACTATAATAGTCATAATATTCAACTCTTATAATACAGATTATATTTCTATTCCTCCAATTATAATTCTAGAACATTAACTGTTTCAAGGATCCACGTATTATTTATACAAAATCCAGAACACCTTCCAAATCACAATCTCCTCAAATTTCCCCAACAGAACATCCCTATGACCTCAAATCTACCAAATCTGCAGCACACGTACCCAACCGTTTCCGAAGTAATAGAAACCTAACCGCTCCAACAGCTTCAAACTTCATCAAACATTCTCAAACTTCAGAAATCTCTTTCCCTGGAATATTCCCAGCCGAATTCTCAGGAGATAATCCCGAAACTCCCATTGGAATTCCATTGACGGGCACACAGTCTCGAGGCGAGGGGTGAAATTTAAATAATGCATTCATGCGGAATTTGAAAGCGTTCCCGTGTTAATGGCGCCGTATATCCGGTAGCAGGTTGACTCTCAGTTTCCGGGGATCTTACTCGGCCGCGATTCGAATAATAACAACCGGCCCGCGAAAAAATAGAATAAACCGTTTACCGGCGCAATCAAGCGCGAGACGATGCCGGAATTTTTAATTTTCCCGGCAATCCAGCCCGGGTAAATTTTTTTCCCCTCCGCCCTCCCTCTCTCGCTGTCTCTTTTTTTTATTAACCATTAAGCAGAGCAAATTGCCTGGAAAGTAAGGTGGACGATTGGCCGCGAAACTCCTCTCGCCACTTTTTACCCGACAGCTCGTCGGTGGTTCTTCAATTTTGCGTGAGAGAGGAAAAACGACCTCGACCTAGGAAATTGGATCCACAAAGGATCAAACGTGGAGAGACCACGGCGTACGGTGGTTGATGGTGGTAGGCGGGGGCGAAGGAGAGAGGGACGAGGAGCTGTGTGACGCGTAAGTACGATTGAGTCTTTGGAAATTTCCGATAAATGTCGAACGACGTAATTCGATTACTGAACGTGACACCGTGGGAGCTTGTGGGATTCGTAAACAGTGACGGTTCTGTATTGTTAGGGGTTGGGGCATGTAGCAACTAAATAGTGCAGTGATTTAGTGATTGAGGAATTTGGTAGCCGAGGATAGTTGGGAATCACTGTCGGACATCTGAAAGTACTTGGGAATAGCTGGGAACAGCGTGGAGGAATTGGAAATGGTTGGAAATAGGTGGGAATAGTTGGAGGTGATTGGAGAGGGTTGATTGTAGTCGAGGAAAGTTGAAAATAGTTAAGTATAGTTAATTGTAGTAGATAATGATTTAAAGTACTTGTGAATGCTTGTGAATACTCAAGAATATTTGAGAATACTTGAATATACTTGGACATACTTGGAAATACTTGGAAATACTTGTTAGTATTTGAAAATACTTACTAATGCTTTAAAATACTTGAGAATACTTGAAAATATTTGAAAATACTTGATAATGCTGGAAAATACTTGAAAATACTTTAAAATACTTGAAAATATTTCAAACTATTTAAAAGTCATTAAAACTGGATGGAAATAGTTCAAAATAAGCTAACAATAGTTGCAAAGTAATTGAATAATAAAAATACTTGTCACTAAATCTCAGTTACCGTGTCAGACGCAAAACTAAGTCATCTCATAATAATCGTTCCACAAATGATCAGAGAATCCATCGGCTAACGAAATTACCAAGATCGCGAGGTGGAAAAGAAAAGGAAGTCCCCCGGGCTTACATTAACCGCGTTCATTTTCCGCATCGAAGAGCGTATTGCCTGTAAAGCCTCGCGGAAAACAAAGTTTACGACGTATCAGATTTTCCACGGTGCAAGGGGTGGGGGTCGGGAAAGGGGTGAAACTGATTCCCTTTGCGATCGAACGGAAAGCTACTTTCGCTGGTGAAGGAGGACATTCCATTTTCTTCGGAATCCGATTAAAGGCTTCCGGCGTATCGAATAAACAGGAAATTAGGTTACGTCATTAGGCGACACTTTCTTCGTCCCTTACCAGCTTTTCGCTGCCAATAATCTGCTGGCAGGCCAAGCTGGCGATTAATTTCACTTTAACACGTCCCCATGCGATTTCATTTGCAACTATCCTCTTCAATAATCAAGCAAAAAAGTAAATGATTAATTAACTTTATATTTTTAGGAAATATCCTGGTTAATGATTAATTAACTAGAAAGTAATATATTAATTAATGAAGTGTTTTTCGCAATTTTCCTCCTTAATAATAAACTAGTAAATAGTAAATTAATTTGATTAATTACTGTTGCAACTATTCTCCTGAATGATTGGCAAATGTTAAATTTAATGTCAAAGCTTGGTCACAAATCCTACTTAATATAAATAATTCCCAGTCCCTTGATTTTGACAACTATGTCAGCCAGTATGAAAGCCATGCAAAATT